GTAGGTCTACTGAGGATTGCTGGCCCCCCCCCCCCCCGTGCAGCGGTGCTAGAAAACGAAAGTCATGTCTCCAGGCCGTTGTGCTAACTGCCTCGAGTCGAATCGAGACACGTGCTAGACATGCATGTAGCATGAAGCTGGAAGGTGTCCCCAAAATCAAAGTTTAGGGTCTAGGTCTCAGAGTTTAGGGTTTCCATAAAGCTTTGACTCCATATGAGCTACGGGCTAAATTTGGGTTGGGGGGGACCTATAGGGGACTATATAGGGTTTCTTGGGGGGTCCTATTAAGGGATATACTACAAATTGAGTCCAGGGCTCATCTGTATTGTAGTCTAAACTCCTTAATGGGGGTTATATAGGGGATTATATAGGGGACTACTATAGGGGATATTAAGGGATATACTACAAATTTAGTCCAGGGCTCAGATTGCTTTGAAGCGCATCCTATTCCCAGGCTCCTCGCGAGGATGAAGCACTGCCAAAACTGGAGAAGGTGCTGGATGTATTTCTGAGGGCTTCTGGTTAGGGTTTAGGGGTTATATTAGGGCTATATTGGGGATATACTGGGATAATGGAAAAGAAAATGGAAACTACTATAGTATATTGGGTTTAGGGTTTAGGGACATGAGTGGGCTTAATTCCTATATAATCCCTGTATACTCCCTGTATACTCCCTGTAGAATCCCTGTAATGCCCAGGGCCTTAGTAGAAATCCCGCGTTTGCTGATAGCTTGCCTACAAGGCCAAGGTGCTCCACCTGCATGTCGAGGGTTTGGGGATTTTTTATCGCAGCTGCTCGCGAGTGGTTCATGCAGGCTTTGGAGGAAGTCCACGCAAACGTCCTCGATGCCCGCGGAGAAACAGCTGCATGCAAAGCCTGCAGCTACTTGTCCACATTTACACAACAAGGCCACTTTCTCTTCCATTATCCCAACATAACGACAATATGTTGCAGTAGTTTCCATTTTCTTTTTCATTATCCCAATGTGACCCCATGTACTATAGTAGTTTCCATTTTGGTTTTCATTATCCCATTATAACCCTCTTTTTCATTATCCCAACATATCCCCAATATAGCCCTAATATAACCCCAATATAACACAATGAGGGTCCAAGATTCCCAATATGTTGCGTTTGTATGCGCGTAGTCTTTGCCTGTTCGAGTTGGCGCCTTGGTCCGGAAACGCAGCGAACTTAAAATTACTTACCAGAATAAGGAAACCCTACGCCCTAAACCCAATAGTAGTTTCGATTCTATTTTCCATTGTCCTTATATAACCCCAATAGCACCCTTATAATCCCTATATAAGCCCTATAATCATTCATTATGGTAACACAGTTGAAGTTTGTGTAGGAGCTGAGTCGCGCAGATACGGAAAAAACGTGTCCAGAGAGAGCTCAAGGGGATCACATAGGAGATTATATTGGGGAGCTTTGTAGGGGTGATTCAGGGGATACTAGGAGTTTAGATACTAGGAGTTTAGACTATAGCTCACACTAGCAAGTCTTGCCTGAGTGTTCGCTGGAAGATTCTCAGACCTTCTAACGAATCTGGCTGCCAAAAAAAAAATACTCGGGGTTAGCAGGGAAGAAGGGAATATGTCATGTAGGGATTATACCGGGCTCGCAACCCCCAGTAAGAAGCCTGTCCAGCCTTGTGCAGATCTGAGCTTTGAGCCAGTTTCCATTTCATTTTCCATTATCCTTAAACAATCAATATAGAACCCCAATATTATCCCTACGAAGCAGTTTAGGGTGTGGGGTTTGGTGGGGATTGTCCTACCAAGGATGTGGGCACGTCAGGATGCTTTACAGCCTGCAGCTGGCCCTGGCTGATTTTACGTTAGCTGCACCCTGGCTGGGGCTCTGGTTTGGCACAGCTTTGGGATGTTTTGGGGTTTTGGGTTCAGGGTTTAGGGTTTTAGGGTTTACGGGTTTAGGCTTTAGGTGTTTAGGGTGTAGGGTAGGCGTTAGCATTGACAACATTTAACAAAAAAACACTGCATCTTTTCTCTCCGAATTGCATTGACTGGATCATGAGTTTACCCCTGATACTACCCCCTAGGTTCCTCCAAAGGGGTAGTGGGAGAACCCATAATTGGAGCACAGGACTCTCAAGGCGCCAGCCCATTGTTCTTAGCCTGCCAAGAAGGGCACGTGCAATGTGCCAGGCCTTTGGGCGAAACAAGATTAGGGGTACCTTTACAAGGGGTTTATAGGGGAGATCGAGGGGTATGTAGGGTTCTGTATGGTTTAGGGTTTCCCGAAATTAGGGGTACCGTGTTTGCGGGTACCTGTAAGGATTATGGAGTTTTGGGGTCCCCCCTATTTGAGGAAATTACCAATGTGTGTCTTAGCAGTCCTAGCTGTTTGCAAGACATGCGAAGAGGATCCTCAGTTTCTTGATGTAGTGCAGGTTGATGTGCCATGGTGCCTGATGTTTACCTCTTGATCTGGAAGTTGCAATTTTTCTACTCTAAACCCTAAACCCTAAAAATACACCCAATAGCCTAAATACCCTTATAGTTGGCAATCCTTCTACTCTAAACCCTAAACCCTAAATACCCTAAATAGCCTAAATACCCTTATACTTGGCAATCCTTCTACCCTAAACCCTAAACCCTAAATACCTTAAATAGCCTAAATACCCTTATACTTGGCAATCCTTCTACTCTGAACCCTCAACCCTATACCAGTGTACCGGGCTTGTGCAAACATCTCCGTTGAATGCTGCTTCCTTGCCTCATGTTTCTCGCAGAAAGATGAGCGACCTTGATCCCGTCCTAGCAACATGTGAGCCGCGGACTAAATATAGGTTAGGGGGGACCTATAGGGGACCATATAGGGTCTTGCAGGGGACCTATTAAGGGATATAGTACAAATTTAGTCCAGGGCTCACGTGGGGAATTCACGAACTTCACAATAAATACCCAGACCTTGTTTAGGGTTTAGGGTCTAGGGATCCAAAAAATGGAACCCCCCAAACATGGCTCCATCACTACATTGGGGAACCTAGGGGATGATTAAGGGGTTCCATCTTGGGTCTGGGTACGGGTTTCCATTTTGGAACGACTATTTTGGGCCAAGTCCCATGTGTTGCAGGTTTCTTCTTGAACTCTGCGGAACGAAGAAAGTCTGCATCTTGACAATGATGGGTGTTTGGCTGCAAGGAGAGGCAAGGAAGGCCGAAGCGATCCGTTCATCTCCCTTTTGCTTGGCACGCTACACAGAATCCTTTGGAAATAAATCACCAGGACCAGGTAACAAAATTATTCAATCTCTTTGTGGCAGGAAATGGTACTCTCCATTAAACAGGAACCCAAAAAGTGGAACCGAATGTGCTACACTCCTTCTTATGGGGAGCCCCAAAAAGGGATTCCTGTTTCCTGTACCATCACGTGCATCATGGCTCCATGTTCGGACCGGGAGCCCAGAGAACAAGGTCCCCATACTAAGGACTATAATTTATATTGGGGTTATATTGGGGATAATGGAAAAGAAAATGGAAACTACAGGGATTATATGGGGGTTATATTGGGGTTATATTGGGGATAATGGAAAAGAAAATGGAAACTACTATTAGTATTCTGGGAAGAGTATCCCAGTAATGGGCAACCAAATGGAAAAGAAACTGGGCAATTACATGGAACACACGGTCCCAGATTTTATAATGTTGCCATGCAGGTGCCATCAAGAGGACAGTTGGGGGTGCCTGAAAAATCGTTAATGCACCACAAAACAGGTCATAGTTGTGCTTCGTATCTGCCACGAATTTGTGTACAAAGGTGTCTTCAAACTTAATGTTTCCTAGAACGGAATCAGGGAATATAGTACCCATAAAATCCCTACACGCTATTTTCTCTTATTCCTCAATGGCCCAGTAAGACAGGGGGCAAGGACTGTCATGCAAGTGTTAGCCTGGTGTCGCGAGGGTTCCATTAAGCAGCTTGCGTGAAAGCTTATTGACCGCGTTGACGTACAACGAGAGATGGGGGGGGTTTCCCAAAAAGGCGTTCTTTTTAAGATCCACATTTGAGGGACTGGCATATTTTGGGGTTTCTATTGGGTCCCTATTGTGTGAAACTACCAGATATGCATTAATGGTGAAACAACTGGAGGGGACAGGATCACGATGCAGGCCCATCTTTTTTCAAGCACCTAACCCTTTTTTAGGAACCCCTTCAGCGTTTTCCCCCCCCCCTTCCTAAAGTCAAGGGCTACATAGTGGACCCTGGTTTTCTAACCTTCAGTCCATGAGCCGGTGTTTTTTCAGCCCCCAATTTGATTTTTTGGCACGCCCGTCCCTGTTTTTCAGACACTGCTGTATTTCAACACCCAAAACCTCTTTTCCTGACCCAATCGCCTCCCGACTCGCGCAGGCTCCTCATCAAAACCCTTCAAGATTTATGCGTGATCAACCGAACCGGCAACGCCAAGTGTCGGCCCCGCCGCCGTATAGTTTTCGGCTTCGCCAGGAGGCGCCAGGACCATTGGTCCCGTGAAGTAGCCAAGAGTGTCGGCTCCGCCCCTCGGCTCCGCCACTTCTGCCAGCCTCACCAAATCGCCATAGACTGTCATCACCTATACATAAGCTACACCAGGAATGTTGGCTGCGCCATCTTATTCGCTCCACCTATACGGCTGGTCGCCAAATCAATGGGCCATACCAAGATTTATCGTCCCCGCCAAGAAAAAACCGCCTCCGCCTAAGAGTGTCAGCCCCGCCAAGGATATGTCGGCTCTGCCAAAATGTTGATAAATGTGGCTCCGCCCAACCTGTCGGCCCTGCCATGCGAGGAAAAGTCGGCTCCGCCAAGAATGTCGGCCTCGCCAGAACAATCAGCTCTGCCAAGACCCGTCGGCCCGTCAAGAAATTGAAGACGGTAAAGCATGCTGAAATGAACTTGTTTGCTGATGGAAGTTGCCCTATTCTTGGCAGTTTTGCTCAGACGATTTGCTGCACAAACAAAGAGGATTTAACTTTAGTTGTTACATGTCTTTTCTCCGCTTTTTTGTCGCAGTGAGAATGTGGCTGATGGGATGATTTATAACGAGCGGGGCAAGTACCGATGTTGACTTGCAGCGACATTGGCACACACGCACACCGACGTATGTGCGCATACATATGCATGTGTGTGGATGCGGCATACGCACGTACATGATCGGTACACATGCGCGCGCACACAAGTGTGTACGCGCGTGCACGCACTTACGTTGGTAAATGCACACACAAACGCACACGCCTTCATGCGCACCCACGATCAATACGTTGCATGCTGCGCGGACACATGCGCATACGCCCGAAAATATTTTTTGTGTCGAGGCACATGTTTAGTGTACGCATGCAGGCATGTAAGCGTGTACACACGCGCGCATGCACAAGAATATGTGTGCGCACACAGTGTGTATTTGCGCGGAGTCATATGTGTATGGGTGCGTACACAAGTGTGTTTTTGCACAGAATCATTTTGTTCTGCACGCAAACACATGTGTATGTTGTGTGGGAAATGTGTTATATGTGCAATGACATGTGTGTGCCTGCGCACATGCATGTGCAAACACACACACACATGTGTGGGCAGAAAACCATGCTGCCGCTTGCGCAGACACACTTGTGCGCGCGCGTGCCGATTCAATTGCGTGCGCATGCAGACATTCTATTGTAGTGGGCACACACGTGTGCATGTGGGCATGCACTTGCACACAGTGTGCAAGCACGCGAGCACATTTGTGCTTTGGGCGGCTTGACATGTGTGCGCTTGCACGTTTATGCATGGTGTTCACACGCACTCATACATATGTAAGTGCACATACATCGATTTGTGTGCATGCGACGTCTCTATGTCAAGAACTTGCCATTTGATGAGGTGGCGTGGATCTGGTATGATTTCTCCCAAAAGGGAGAAGTCGAGGGCGTGGAAGGCTTGGCGGCGATTTTCATGTCGAATGGGTTTGATCGCAACGTGAAGCTAAGCAAACGATGACCATGTCGTATAATTGAACATAATCTCGCAAAGTCATTGCATTTTGGTTTGTGAAACACGCCCCTACAAACTCCAATGTCGCGCAACCCTGTTCTGCCAAGTGTTTTGACAGCGTGAAGCAATTTGTGGTCGCCGAAGGGCGCCCTTCTCTGGATCGAGCCAGGCCGGCGTGTGTACGAGACCCGTGCATGTCATTTTCGTGGAGGCCATAGAAGGCAGGGGCACTTGTGGCACATCCCAGTTGTGCGTGCGCGCGTTCACAAGCGTCGGCTCGTGGCCAACGAAAGACCGTGCCAAAGGTGCCTCCCACCAAGAAGTAGAATCGCGCTTGAGGTTTGCAGTCAATGAGAGACCCCGCAGGGAGCAGATGCAAAACCATGACTTCCCAGACAATCTTTGGCGCAAGCGCCGTTGTAGGCATGTGACTCCTGGTGGGCATCGGTTGCTGCATTTGCTGGCTCAAACTCAGCTTGTTCGTGCAGGCCTGCTGCTGCTGTTCCCATCCTTTCATTCATGACGCGGAATGTGCTAGTGTGACATTGCGGAAGCCGCTGGGAAAGTGCCAAGGTGCGGACGCTAACCTCAGCAGGGTAATCGAGCGTTGTTGCCCTCCCCCCCCACCCCACCTTCAAAGTGCAAAGCAGAAAAATGCCAACAATGAGGAACAGCTCGGAAAAGCCGCTTGTGTAAATTTGGCAAAAATGGGAAATATGTTGCCAAAAATGCCGGTTCGCGTACGTGAACGTGAAAAAAATCCAAGGCCAAAACTCGACCCTTTCAGCACGCTATGTGCATACACGTGTTTGGCACCGAAAGACAGGCTTCAGTACAAAAATGTGAGCTTTATGCCACGGCAAAATAAAACGCCGTGGACTATTATCACAACTACAACTACTGTACTACTGCGAGTACTACGACCTCTACTTCTGCTGCTGCTATTATGACGTTGACGACAACTCATATTGTTGTTGCGCCTCCTCCTGCTGCTGCTGCTGCTGCTGCTGCTACTACCGCTTTCTTTACCAGTGCTATGCTACCACCACTACTATGACGAGAGCAGCAATGACGACGACCTAGACAGCGGAAGTGACGATGACGAGAGCAGCAATGACGACGACCAAGACAGCGGAAGTGACGATGACAACGACCGACTTTCCAGCAATGATCCTTTGCGCCGTAAGAACATGTTAGAACAGTCGTTGGCGCAAAGACTTACCGAAATCCTAATCCCTGCTGTTTGTCGCAGCAACAGGGTGGCCGCCAGGGTCGGAATAGCGAAACGGAAAACATAAATTGGGTGTCACGACGTAATTTCAGCCCTGCTTCTTCCTTTGTCTTCTTGCGATTGGTTCGCGTATCAGAAGATTAAAAGCGTGGGGGGGCGCAGCCTCCCCCATCTGCAAACAGATGTAGTCATCACAAGATCCCCTTCTCTTGGTGGGTTGGGGGACGGGGCCCCAGACCCGTATCTGCAAGCCAATGCCATGACATATGCGAATTTTGAGCAGCTGAAGCGTGGCGGGAGAAGGGGCGCAGCGATCCGTGGCTAATAAGCTCTGCGAAGGCAAAGAACAAGGCAGCATGCGACTGCGTCTCGTCATTTGCATTACATGGGGATGTTATTCCTTTGTTCCTTTCTAACAACAAGGAAGACAAAGCCCGTGTGTATGCCCTACCTAGGCATTCGCCCGGACGGTGGGCCAGAAGTCTGGGTGGATTTCGTTGATGCTGGGCAGCAGCTGGGTCTCCGGCACAGTTCTTCCCGTGCACAATGGTGTCCTGTATGATATCTGGTTCAGGTCAGAGCTCAGAAGCTGGGTTTAGGGTTCAGGGTTCAGGAGTGTAGAGTGCTTGTGGATCGGCACCTGCCACTGACCCGCAGAATGCACGACATCAAGCCACTGCCATGAGATGTAAGCTTTTAGGGTTTTCGGTTCAAAATGCAAGATGTTGGAGAGCTCGTGGAATTCAGGACCGGCCACTCAACAGCGATGCCACATCCCTCTATGTGGCTTCCCAGACGCTTTGACTGGTGATTCAGTGTTGGGGGCCTGATTATAGGAAGCCCATAGGGTTTAGGGATGTCACGCTGATCACGGCAAATCAAACGGAAAAAAAAGAAGATGGAGCATAAAATGGAAGCTGGGCTTCCACACAGCTTGTGCGCAAGGATGGTGAGCCTTGACTAGTTGGAAAGTTGGAAGGCAAGATGCAGAGACGTCAGACGCAATCATCCATTTCTTTCCGTGCTGTATGTCATTAGTTCGGGGGACACGGGAAGTGCTAGCGTGCGGCCCAAATTTGCAAGGCTCTCCAGTTTTTTTTTTTTTTTTTTTCCGCTTGATCGTTGAAAACAGCCACACGAGCAGCATTGGCAATCTAAATCAAGATTGTGCAGTCATTGGCATATAATGAAGATGTTCCTGAAAGGGTGTGCGCTACCATGCTGGCGTAAACATTGCAGCTTCGCGAACATTGCTGGTACTCTGCAGCCAGCAGCCGCAACAGTCCTGATCTTCATTGGAGTTTGTGGTGCACTTCCATTACTTGACAGCTGCGGCATATCTATAGTTTTTGGGTTGGGACTGCGGACGACGAGTTGTGCTTTTGATTCCGAGTCTCTCATTCAGCAGTCTTCCAGCTTGGGAGAAAACACCAGAGCTTTCATTTGCTAGGGAGGTCACTTTGGCCTTGTTCAGTGTCAAGAGCCAGGGCCTGATTGAGGGTTGTGAGGCGGTTCCGGGTTACACTTGGGTCCGTGCCAGATGCTTGTTGATAAAATCCGTTGCTCCGCTCTGTTGGCTATGACTCAGGAATGGCCATCGGGGGACCGTACAGCTCCTTATTCAATACAGGGCGAAGGTGAACCAGGCTCACGGACGCATTTGGCATGCTTTGAGCAAATGACGACCTGAATTGGATAGATGAAGTGGACGTGTAAACTGCGTGTTTGATGCCTAGCCTGAACGCACCATCTTGCACGGAACTTGTGCATCTTGTGTCCAGGCGACCCGTGACAAAGCTACGCCCTTGTTCATCGCTTCGCAGATCCTCGGTCTCAGATGGCTCAGCATGTGCCAAGCGCAGTCGAGCCACAGTTTCCGGGGTGCCGTTGGCTGTTTCCGTTTGTACTCACATATTATGGGTGAGATCTTCCTCAGCAAGGTAAGTTGCGGACAATTCGTGAACTCAATTGTTACAACCAAATGCATGCTGTATGCCCATTCGTTGCGACCGTTCCGTACCCATGCACGTAAGAAGACATTAGCTATAGTCTAAACTCCCTAAAGGGGGGTTATATAAAGGATCATATACGGGACTGCTATAGGGGTTATTAAGGGGGATGCTAGGAGTCTAGACTATGCCTTACATGAATGCCAGGATTTATGGTAAAGGGACGTTAAATACAGGCTAGTCTCTCGCAATCCAGGATGGGCTTCACTGGGATTGTGGATGACCTGATCGAGGCCAGCACCCCCTAAACCCTAAACCCAAAAACCCTACTCGAGGCCTGCTTTACACTGCACCCCGGAAAAGGATTCGGTTTTCTCGTGGGATGCTCAGGACTTCGAGGATTGTGGATGAGGGATCGGGCCTGCCTTTTGGAGGTCCCGCTGCAGATCATTATACCCTAGTGAATATGGTAGTTTTGCAAAATAGGGGGACCCCAATATAGACCCCCAAAGTATTACAATCCTTATTATGGGGGCTTCACAAAAAGAATCCTAACTTTGGAAATCCACCATGTGTCACCTTGCAACATGCTAGCATTCCGGAGCGTGCTGCAGACCTGATAACCGCACGGTATCCCAACTTAAACTGCCACAGTTGCCGATCCTACCGCTGATAGCACTACAACTCAAAAATGATTGCTGCTGCTTCTAAACAATTGGGGAAAATACTTTTCCCCAAGTGTTTAGTACTGCTGCTGCCGCGCTGTCCTCCTCCTCCTCCTCCTCCTCCTCCTCAGCTCGCGGAGCTTTAGGACCACGACAGTACTGTTGCAGGTTGGTTTTGCCTATCTTCTTGGGGGGTAGGTAATTCAACCCTTAACCCCAATAAAACATGCCATTTCCGTTTTCTTTTTCCATGGTTCCCTATGTAGTCCTATATAATCCTTCGCGCTCGGCTGATTCGAAGGCAAACGCAAGCGTTGATGCTGCAAACAACACTGGCGCCACTCCGTTGTTCATCGCATCCCAGTGCCTGGGACAAATTAGGGGTACTGTTAAAGGGGCTTATAGGGGATATATAGGGGATATACAGGGTCCCAGTAATAAGGATTATAGCATTTTGGGTTCTATATTGGGGTCCTCCTATTTTGGGAAACTACCAAGTGTTACAGAACTGGATAGGGCAATTTCTAGTAAATTGCCCCCAAATACTTCAATCCTTGCTGTACCTCCCCCAGTTTGGAGAAGCTTCCCATGGACCAAGGGAGATTGTGGGCTGTCTTGTTTTCCCGATCTCTAGACCCTAAACTGCGAAGTATCTGAAAAAGTTTGTGCCTTTTGACGCAGCGGCTTGACAGGCGACAAAGGTTTGCGCCCCATGCAGGATAGTAAGTTTGAGATTCTGCCAAGGAAGGGCCATCTTTTTCACAGACCTTTTGGCAACCCAGAGTCCACAAAATGTGGAAATACTATCCAAAAAGCCCTTTCGTACGGCAAGAAAAATTCGTAGATGTGGCAGTTCTCTGGCATCACAGTCAGCATGCTATGTTGCTTAGCCTCGGGCTGTCCGGCTATTTATTTGAATCATTCTAGTTCTACTGGTTCGATATTTCGCAACAGCTGTACGCGTTTGGTTGCAGCAGCATCGTCTATCTGGACGTCGACGCCTTTGAAGATCAGTTTCAGTTTGCATCTCAGTGTCAAACTGTTGCTCACGTCTGCACCAGAATTCACAAGTTTTCCAATCCGACGTATGTTGCGGGCAGCGTAACATGGTCATGCTCTACACAGGCACGGGAGCACATGAAGGGTTGTCAAGGGATGCAAGAAGGAACCATATTTCTGACAACCTACCAGACCCGCAAACCTTAAACCCTATCCTTAAACACCCGCTCGATCCTTCCATGTCCATAGCTTGGCTCCCAGGAATGCTCGCCTGGAGATTGCGCAGAAGCTGACACTCGACCTCATAGGGTGCCGCAGATTGAGGACTTCAGGATCTTTAGTTTAGGGTTCAGGGTTTAACAGACGGGCGCAGTTGCTCGGTAGGTTTCTGGGCATTGTTGCTGGTATATAGCTCCTCGTGCCTTCAAACGTCCTGCGAGTGTCAACATTTCGCCTTGGTTCCAGGCGCTTACGTGAATCTTGGCCGAACTGAAACTGATGACGATCTTCGAATTGTAGAATCGTCATGCTTTTTGGCCTCTGTTCTGTGTTACTCTCGCCTGAGAGCACAAAAGTACAGCGCTTGCCATCAGTCTTCATTCTTTATGGCGTGTTTCGTATTTGTCTGTGTATGGATTTTAGGCGTTGTCGCTCTTCTGGGGGGGTGGCTGAGGGCGGGGGCCTGGGGGGCTGAGTGGATAATTACGTTCCTGGCATCAGATTAAAGGCTTTTTAGGGTTCAGGGTTTAGGGTTTAGGGTTTAATTAGGGTTCAGGGTGTAGGGTTTAGGGTGTGAGTGTTTGCAAAGAAGGAACATTTGGAGAAGCGGATTTTTCTTGCAAGTCCTTCTGGTCTCAGTCTTTGCGCCAGCTTGCATTTCCTTTCCATTTGAGTCATAATCCAAACTCTTTAAAGGGGGCTATATAGGGGTGTCTTGTATAGGGGAGTACTATAGGGCTTATACAAAGGGGCACAGTAGGAGTTTAGACTCTAGCTCATTTGAACATGCTGACTGTGCTTTGATTGTCTGCTGTCAACGTGAGAGTGTGCCAAGGAGTGCTTTAGGAGCTGATGCAAAACAAGGTATATAACACCAGTTGCCAATTCATCTTCAATTCTTTCCATTTCATCATCCTTTCTTGCGGTCATATAATTATACGTCCTCTATATAATCCCTACAATTTCGCAGCTGAGGATTGCCCTTGGAGCAGATGTAAACAGTGAGACATCGGGCGGCGCAACTCCAATGTACATTGCAGCACAGAACCTCGGCATTAGGGTTCAGAGTTTAGGGCTGAGGGTTTAGGGGTTGAGGTTTAGGGTTCAGGATTTAGGGTTGAAGGTTTAGGGTTTAGGGTTTAGGGGGGTTTAGGGTCTAGGGGTTAGGGGCAAATCGCAGGCAACGGATTCACCGGGCCTGGCTCTAGACGGGCCATTTGTGTAGAATACTTTCCCATAAAGGGATTTTATTGGGAACCCCAAACAGGGAACCCCAAGAATATAGTAGAATATAACAGGAAGATACTTACCAGACCACACATATTCCATTATGTTCTTGTTGTATTCTTGGGGTTCCCTGTTTGGGGTTCCCAATAAAGTCCGTTTAATCCAGAGGCTTGCTAGGCCGCAGGAGTTATTTCGGGGTATTCAGGGATCTATAGGGTTACATAGGAATTTATAGGGTTATTTCCCAAAATTAACATGACACTCAAATCGAAAACATATAGGCCTACGTAAGGATATAGGATACATAGGGTCATTAGTTATTTTCCCCCAAAAAGAAAATCAAATGGAAAAGAACACGTA